AGGGTAACACCTGAGGGACACAGGAGGGCAGTTCAGACTACCAAGAAGCCAGCAGGAGGCGCTCTATCCAACTTAATTTGTAAATCAATCCAACTATCATACGGATTAATGGTTATCTATCACCTTCTCTTCACCCCCTCCCCCAAATTTCAAAAATTGCCTTCAAAGACCAACATACAACTGTTTTATTAAAACAACCATTTACAATAGTGGGATCTAATGACAAAGATACCAATAAATAATCAGACATAAAAGTCTTTAAAAGACTATAAAGGTGTGATCATTATTTACACATAAACAGTAATTTCTCCTGTATCTGGCACTAAACAGAAAACCATTTTACATTTTATCATTTGGAATAAATGCAAGTTTTTCCTAAATAAAATGCATGTCTCCCTGCGTACACCGTGCCCTGCCATGCTCCTTTGTCTGGTACAGTACCCACCTAGCAGATGAGCAAATCTCCTCTGGTTCTGCTCTCAGTGGGCCCCCCTTTTATCCCCTTACTCAGCTTCCATCCTTTGTCTGCTGTGGACTTGGAAACCAGATAGCCACGCTGGTTAGAATTGTTTGTAAGTTAACAGCAGATAGAATGTAGGCTAAGTATTCCTTCTTAAAATGCTTGGGACCGGAAATGTTTTAGATTTCAGATTTTTTCTGATTTTGGAATATTTGCATTATACATTTGTATAATGTATGCAATGCTCCAATGAGCATTTCTTTTGAGGTCATGGCAGTGCTCAAAACTTTCAGATTTGGGAGCATTTTAAATTTTGGATTTTCAGGCTGGGTGTGGTGGCTCACACCTATAATCTTACCACTCTGGGAGGCTAAGATGGGAGGATGCCTTGAGCTTAGAAGTTTGGGACCAGCTTGAGTAAGAATGAGGTGCCATTTCCACTAAAAATAGGAAAATTAGCTGGGCATTGTGTCAGGCACCTGTAGTCCCAGCTACTCTGGAGACTGAAGCAAGAGGATTGCTTAAACCCAGGAGTTTGAGGATGCTGTGAGCAGGCTGATGCCATGGTACTCTAGTCTGGGCAACAGAGTGAGACTCTGTCTTAAAAAAATAATAATAAATTGAATAAATACATAAATGTATTTTGGATTTTCAGATTTGAGATGCTCAACCAGAGATAATGACTGACTCTGAGGTGCTAACCATAAAATCCATTGACTTTGGAAAATGGCCTTTTTTTTCTGGCTTTGCACCTGTATTCTGGGTTGGGAGGAATGCCACAAAAATGATGTATCATGGCAGTAGTTAAAAAAATCAGATATACCAACTGTCCACTGATTGATTCTTCAATTTATCATGAATTTGTTGTTCTTTTTTGAAGTAGGCACATCAAGAGTTTCTGGACTGATTTGAAATGTATCTGATAGTCTACAGGCTAAGTAAACAGAATGACAGACATCTGTCGCCAGTGGAAGTCTTTTGAGAGCTCACGTGTTTTAAAACCCCTGAGTTCTTCCAAATCCTATCATTTGGAGCTACTGTGGGCAGAAGGCCATCCAGTGACCTCAGATGACAAGAGCTAGCCCACCTTACCTATACCCTGCTGTTTCTCTTATTTTATGTGTTCTTGAAAGCCCATGTCTTTACCAATTTACAAATGTTAGTATAGATGTCTAAGGACATAGCATTCCTGCTTCAGACCCTGAAACATACACTATTACCCACATGTGATGACATTTGGCAAGTCAAGCTACGAAGGCAGTGTCATATAGATGGCCAAGGGTACCGTCTTTGGAGTCAGATTGGTTAGGCCATGTCAGGCAGCATCCCTGCTTAAGAAAAAATTGTGGTCACAGGGAAGGAAAACTGTCCTTTACAAATCCAAGGCAATTCCTTCTGCCTCCCTTCCCTTCCCGCATGCTGGCCATTGAAGAAGAAATCTGCCCAGCTGAGAAGGTGATGGCTGATGATGTCCCCCTGAAGAACAGTGAACTGGCAAGTGGAGGTTGGTCTCAGCCAAAGGCTGCCCTTGGGCCACATGCAGAGTCCTCAGTGAGAGCAGATGAGGCTTCTCAGGAGTACAGTATCAGCATTAGCCACTGGACGTGACAGGGAAGCAAAGGATGGTCAGTTCAGATCTACCTCTGACTCAGCCGCCTCCCCCTCCCCCGGGGAGCCACCGAGACAGGACATTAATGGATGGTTTAGCCAGAGGGACCACACCATCCATTAGTAAGTATAAATCAACCCCAAATATAATCAACCTTGACTTCTCAGGTGCCTATGAATGATGATAGCCAAGGTAGAGGCTGATTCTGTATTCAATTCTCAATGAATTTTTTCCCCACGAATTCAATTTGGCACGCTAGTGCCAGCCAGTGCAGGTGTGCAGACTGGTAGCAGAAACCCATTAGAGCATATTCTACATGTTTACATTTATGGGCCCCTCCGTCTGACAGCTTTATGTGGGTGTGATGAACGATCTCTCTAACTCACACAGAGGGGACCTCTGGGGAAACCACTCCACAGGCCAATCCATCAAAATGATGCTGCTGATGATGAAGCTGATAACGCTGGAGTCACCCGTGGTGTCAGAGAAAGCCCCAGAGTGGAATCCAACAAGTGGCTTCCATTCCCTGCAGACCTTGGGTGGTTCTGCTGTTCTTGTGCTCACTGAGCTGAGGTAGTCAGAACTGGAGGTGATCCCAGAGACCACCTAGGCCCCCTCATGGCATGTAGTGAAGCTAAGGCCCAGAGATGCAGTGTGGTTTGCCTAGCTCCTACAGCTAGTAACAAGAAGTGCTGTGGCTTCAATTCAGACCCGTCCTGTTTTCCTCTCATGAAAGCACTTTACTTTGCTGGAGCCACATTGCAGGCTGTCCTGTGTCAGGTGCCACACTCATGTCTCCCTCTTCCCCCAGCTCTGAGCCTGCCACTGTGAAAGGGGTGCCTGGGTTCAGGAGGTGATGCCTCAGCAGCCCGGTGGGGGTTTAAGCAGCAGGGGATGGGCTCAGAGGCTCTCATCAGTGTCCCTCCCGCTGGGTCCCACCTTCACAGACAGACACTGGAGAGACTGAGGGGAGACACAGGCTCAGGGCCCCAACTCTAAGAGAAGCTATTCCATAGAATGGACATTAAGATCAAGAGAGATACTCATCTTTTCCAGAATCCTTTCTAAGAAACCCAAGCAGGGGAAGTGTTGTAGGAAAAAGAAGAGCAGATGCTTCAGTGCCAGACTCCAATATCCTCGCAGTGAACACTACCTAGCACCACACCTGGCACCTAGCAGGTGCTCAGTAAATCAGTGCAATTGAAATGACTGGGAAAGACAATTGGTACCATACATGATTTGACTTCTCCTAGCTGTATCACCTGATTCATTTAACAAACATTTGTTAACTACCTGCTGTATACATATCACTGTATGAGATGTGGAAAGAGGACACAAAAACAAAACTAGGTATAGTCCCTCTACATGTGTACACCACGTACACCAGCCCTTCAGCAAGGCTTGTTTCTAGCCGGCAATTTTGCCTGATCTGACCCTGACCTTGGGACTGACCTGGAGTCAGCCTCCCCTCATTCCCTATATGCCTGGACTGTGCACAGCTGCTCCATCCAATCTGGGCCTTTCCTACTTCCCCCTTCATTCGGCCTAGATGACTCCTTCTTGTCTTTGAGGTTTCAACTTCACTGCCACCTCCTCCAGAAAGGCCTTGGTGGAACCCCTATCTAGATTGGCTCTCCTGTTACTGGCTATGCTAGAGTTCCTTGCTGGACCCAAGTCCTTACCCCTTTCTGTGTCCATGCCCGGCCATGCCTGCCAAGTGATGAGAAAGAGGAGGAGGCCCTTTCCCCATCTGTTGGAAATGGGCTTGGTCATGTGACTTGCTCTGACAACAGAATGAGTTGCAGGTGTGTCGGGTCGGAGCCTGGGTCTCAGAGGCCTGGCATATTTAAACTCATTGTCTTGTGCTTCTGCCATTGTCCTGAGGGCAAGCTTTGTTGGAATTTCTTCAGTTAAGGTATCTAACAAAGCCCCCAGTAAACCCATAGATACATAAGCAAGCCAGCCAAGACCTGAAGATTCCCAGCCATGCAACTCAGGAACTAAGTGCTTGCTTGCTGTTGGCTGCCAAAGTTTTATGGATCTGCCACATGGCATTAATGTGCCTGTGCAAACTGGGTACACTCACTCAGTCTCCTGTTGCCTTTATATGAGTCTGGTGCAAAGCGGGCACTATAAATGTCTGATGGATGAATGAAGGAGTGAGTGCAATGAATGTAGTGCTGAATCTCAAACTCAGCAGGGTGAAGGGTCCCCAGAGCCCTTCTCCATCAGAAGAGCCAGTTCCTGCAATGGCCACCTCTACCTCAGAAGATGTCACCTGCCTCCTTACCTCCGGCTTCTGCAGGTATATTCCTTTGCCATCTTGGGTTAAGTTTTGGAAAACCTCTGTGAAAATGCAGCAGAAAACAAAAGAGTTAATTTGTGTGTGTGCTGGAAACACTACGAGCCACTTCCTCCCATTCCTGGCCTCACCTTAACCACATCCATGCTGAAAATGTGAGGGAACCCAATTCCTGCCCACATACAACCACATGCAGCCACACTTTTCCTAACTGAGCTACTTCAAATCTTTCCTCTGGAAAGAGGCAGGGTATGAATTAGTGTGGGTAGACATGGCCAAGTTTCACAGGCACATGGCCAAGTTCCAGTAGCTCCCCTGGCCTGTCATTCCTGGGCTAGCAGCTGTCCTCCCCTGTGCTTGAACTAGGGACAAGAGAGCAATCACAGTCCTGCAGAGGAAGCCCTGGCCATCCCTCTTTCCCGCCAGCTCACCCTCCATGTTCTCCGCACGCAGCATCAAGTGAACAAAGCTGACAAAGTCCATATGCAGACTCGGGCCACCATAGCGGATCAACATCAGCTGGCAGACGTCATCGCTGAGCACGATCCCTGCATTGAGCACAGGCTCCCACAGTGGGTGCTGGGGTCCTGCCCTCAGCTCCCCTCCCACCCAAGGCCCCTTAAGTGGTCCCTCCACTTCACAAACCTGAATCCTGACAGCATAGAGATCTTTTATGGGGTTCATTTTGAACTCCTTAATTATTTAATCAATTTCTTTTCTTTTCTCTCCATTCCCTACCCTGGCCCTGTTAAGCAGCCTGCATGAGGCCCTTCTCATCAGGTGGATTACTGGCCTTCAAGGCGGGAGGTGGTCAGCTCAGCAGTCAAGAGCATCTGCTTTGGAGCCTGGAGGTCCTGGATTGAAACCCCAGGTAAGTTATTTAACTTCTCTGAGCTTCAGTTTCTTTCTCTGTCAAGGGGGGATTATAATAAGGTGTTGTTGAAGATTGAACGAGAACTGGATGTGCCACCCCTCAATAAATTAGCTTTGATCACAGCCACAGTAATAACAAGGGTTTGGGTTATGTGCAGATCCATGTCTTTGAGAGTCACGCTGCCTGTCAGTCACTCAGAACACCCTGCACAGCCCACTCCCTGCGAGTGTGCACCTGCCCACAGGCCGGCCAAACCCACCCCTCCTGGGCCTACCTGCCTCCTTCATGGCGGCCCGCAGTTGCGCCCAGTTCAGGTAGCCTGACCCATTTTTATCTTGTTTGTGGAAAACCTCCTGCAAAGAACCAAAACCAAAGGCTAAGGAAACCAGGCACTTCCCAGCTCCCCCTGAGAGCCTCTACGTGCCCCGTGTCCCTGCACAATGCCAGGGACATCTGAGGCTCCACCAGCAGGGCTTGCCACCGGGATAAGAATGCGGCAGAGAGTCCACCCCCGGCTCCCACCACCTCACATTTCTCAAGGAACAAGGCTTCTGAGGAAGGGAAAGGTCTCTTTCTTGGGGGGTATCGACAGTCTGGGTGTAGGGAAATGTGCTTAGGCACGTTAACCACACTTTGAAGTGGCTCCAACTTCATGACTCAGGAGACAAGTGGGAGAACTGTGAGCTGTGAGGAATGATTAGAAGAGTAGGACAGAGCCAATTTATGCAGGACTTTAAATGCCAAGCGTGCTAGGGGGGTTGGACTTTCTCTGAAACCAAGGGGGAGTCTTAAAAAGCTTTCTGTAAGGAAGCAAGATGATGAGACGTGTGTTTTGGAAATACGGAACACTACGGCAGCAGGCTGTCTGGGTTTGGGAGAGGGAGGGAAGGAAAGCCTCACTGACAGGACAGCAGAGACTTGGTGGGGAGGACATAAAGGGCTGTGGGGCAGAACTGTCTGCTATAGCTTTACAGAATTGCCATTTCTGTGCCACCCTCTAAAGAGGCGTGGTTAAGACTTGCTCTTACCTGGTAGAGCATTAGTTGCTTCCACAGGTCCCTGAATTCCTGGAGGCTCACAGTGCCCGATGCATTAAGCTGATAACAGGTTAAGGCACAAGCTGCCAGGGAGAGTTCCACCCACACCCTGCAGGCAGCCATTGGCCCCACACAGCTGTGTGCACTTTGTAGGTGACCCCATGCAATGTCTGATGTCCCAAGTTGGCCTCGAGTCACTGGCCAGTCCAGCCCAGGGAAAGGACAGGAAGCAGCAGCTCTGGGAGAAGTAATGTCGATGGAGGTGATGACCACAATTATCATTTAGTGAAGCAGGACATTTTGACATAGCCATTTTGATGTAATTTAAATAAAAACTATAACCTTTTCTCATTATTGTTTAAAAACCAGCTTATGGAAGAATTCAGGCATAGCGTGGCTAAGGATGCCTCTCGTATATTCAAAGTTTAATGGTTAGCTTTGTGTACCCCTGGCATCAGAGAGACAATCAAAAAGCTACCTTGCACCACCTGGGAGCCCTCACCATGGGTCTCGCCCTGTTACATGCTTACCATCTGTGTTATTTCACTTATGCCTAGCAGGTGAGGTGCATCCACTCCCCCATGTTCCAGAGGACAAAATGATTCCTCAGGGAGTTCAAGATCTTGTCCAAGTTCACAGCTGGTGGCAGGGTTCGGACCTGCTCTGATGCTAGACACCTAACCACCATCCCACACTGTCTCTGAGATTCTACACACTGTTTTTGTTGTGACCATCCCTCGAAGACTATCACCCCTATATGCTTCTCTGCAGTATGGATGACCAAACTTTAATTAAAATTGTCCACTTAGAGAGACAGAGCATTTGCTAGAAAAATTGCAGGGCTCATTATCAGAAAAGCTGAGTTCATGGAATGTTATTTAACTTTTCTGAGCCCTAGTTTTCTGATCTGCAAAAGGGATAGCCACCACCCAGTCACCAAGTGGAAAACACAGGGCACCAAGGCCTTTGTAAACATGGGGACGTGGAAACTCACCATCACCTTGCAGCTGGTGCATCCTCACTCTCAGGAAATGAGGTTATTATTGTGGGTAACTAATAGTGATCACCTGTTAGATGATAGCTTGGTCCTCCGCACTTTGCCTGTGTTATCCCATCTCTGTCCCCACATCAATCCCACAGAACAGCTTTTGACACTGTCCATACTTCAGAGGAGCACCTGGAGGCACCATGAGGCTCAGGGACTTGTCCAAGATCCCACAGCTAGTGAGGGCTGGGTTTGGGAGTCAAACCCAGACTGCCTGGCTCCAGTGTAAAGATCTCAACTGGCCCAGCACATCCATCCCCCACCTGAAAAGATACGTCCAGGAGGGCCAGGATCCCCTGGCAGGCTTCAAGGCTGAAGAGGGGCTGTGTGCTCCCCAGACCTGTAAGGGAACAGAAGGACTCTGTGGGGAGCTGGGTCAGGGATGCTCACCCCTTTTCTGAGCAGAAAGAGGCAGTGTTGTGTGGGCCGACTGAAGTTCTAACGACCACCACCATATACATGGGCTGGAGAGAGGGGGAATACAGCCGACAGAGAGGGGTTGAGGGTGGTTCCTACACCCATGCAATACAGTGACACCTTGTAGAGAACAGCCACCTTTGCTTTGCTCACATGTGACCCCTATGAACATGTCCCACAAATGTAGGGAGGGCCTGGATCCCAGAGTTACAGACCCCCAAGTCTGAGCGCTCTGAGAGGCCAGCTTGTTCAAGCTCCTGCCGAAACTGGGGGATTCCTTCCTTAGGTGTCATGAAGGATGATTTCAGTTGTGGGTGCTCCCTTTCTCACATGCAAAAAGCAGGAGAACCTCCTTACGTGAAGTGCAAAGGAGCCTCCAGTAATAGCCACTTGCTAAACCTGTTCTGCCTCCAGCAAAGCGTGAAATGGCATTTGTCTCCTCTTTGACTTCTGCCGTCCCTGCTAAACATCTGAATGTTTTTCCAACTATTCCTCAGATGCTTTCTAACTTTCATACCCCCCTCCTGACTCCATACTTCACTAGCATTACAACATATGCTCCCATGACCTGAACATGCAGATGCTATTTGGTTAAACAGAATTTAGAGAACCTATCACTCCCAAAAAGGTTTTGGTCGAAATTTCCCCAATTATGTTCCAAGAGTAATGTTCTGCAAAAAAAGGTTCTGTGATCAAGTAAAGGTGGGATATTTTCCAACTATAGAGCCTTTTCCCCATTCATCCGGACCTTAGCATAGGATAGGTAATAAGGACCCAGGTACCCTGACACTGAACCTAACCCCCTTTACACACATTTCATGGAACACTTACTAAAACCTCTTAGTTTCTAATGTTTCCTGGGACATGATTTCAAAAACACAGATCGAAATGCTTCCATTACATGCAGCCTGAACTTGTACAAGCAGCAACTTGAGACCATTAGCTCATGTGAAGCTGAAGGTCAACTACATTAACCAAATATCTTTCACATAAGCTGCTGCAAAAATGAGGTGTCTTCAGCTAAGAGCTGTGCAACCATTTTCGAAAACATCATTATGGCAGTGGTTTATTATTTTCCTGACCCTCCATTTCATTTTTTTTTTATTTGGGTGCAGCTTGCTGAGAACATTCGGGATTTCAGTTCTGCCATCTGTTACATCAATGACGTCTCCCTGCTTTGCGCCACCTCCAGATCCAATAAGCCTATATTCCATGTCTTCTTCCAAGACATTAATAAAAGTTGGGGCAATGAATGGAACCACCAAGGGCAGAGTCTAGGAACTCTCGTTAAACATCCAAACATCTAGACTCCTCTCACCTCTAGCTAGATAGAATTATCCCTCTAGTTCTCTAGTGTATTAACTCTTGGGAGTGGTGACACGATGTGTTATGAGTACATCTAATATTATTAGTTTCCACCCCACATTTTATTATTTATCATGGGAGATTTTGCCAAATGCTTCACCAAAATCTGCGGTAGTTCTCTAATCTGTCAATTTAGAAACCCTATCCTAGGACTGAATAAAAACAGTTTGTCCACACATTCTTTGGAAAACTGTTTGGCATATTTGTGATCAGGTATTTAAAAAAACATTAATCATGTACAAGCCATCTCTTCCAGATAACTTCCCTAGAATCAGACCTAGAACTTTTTTTTTTTTGGTGGGGAAGTGAAAGGAGGCTTCTTAGGTTCTATCGTGGCTAGAGTCTTCCCTGATGGCCCTTCTACTGATAATGGAATTTGGCTTTGAGAAGCTGTGAGGAAATCCTTTCAAACCTTGAATCATACAATAGCCTGGACTGTAATTTGTCTGGGTTTGAAATCTTGGCTTCGTATAAGGGAGAAGTAATCATCTGTCTTAGGGCACAAATATTCTTTAATTGTTTTACTTTTTTTCATTCTCCTTTCTAGAAAAATCAGCCTAATTCTTCCATGTTCTCCTCACTCCCAATCTATGTATAATATAAAACAGTTTTATATGAGCTTTAAGCCTTTCTTAGAAGTTATCCCAGGCTTTGCCTGAAAGCATCCACACTGCCCACTTGCATCTTGTAGCGGGTGTGCACTCTCTTCCAGATTTTTATAGGTTGATCAATTTAAACTCGAGTTCATCAGAGAGCTCCCTGGGTAGGCTAGTCAATACTTAATATTTCTATCCCAGGTTGAGGAAATGGGGGCAGTTCTTCCACATGAAATTGATATGCCAAGAAAGAAGTGCTCAGCTTTTATTTTCAAGCTGGCAAAATGGCAGAAATCATTTTCAGTGCCTCGTATCTCTACATCCGAACTAAGAGGGAGAAAAAAGCCCTATTTTCAAAGCGGCATGAATTCCCCTACTGCTTTGTCAGACCAGATAACCCACCCTCGAGTAAAACATAGCAGCTAGCTGGGGCAGGGCTCAGTAATTCATGTGTCCCACCAAGAGAAAGAGAAGCAGAGGCAGAGTTTGGAAATGCCGGGTCCCCTTGGAGTCCAAAGCACTTACCTGACCAGGTCATGTGGTTCAGGATATTCTGCAGTTGAACTGCATTGATCTCTGGATACTAAAACGAAAGCAGAATGGCAAGAGAAAATCACCATTCCTTAGGCTCATTCGATGGCAGAGAGGTCAAGTGACTAGACAACATAACTAAACAGGGATTTCCAGTATGTTTCTTGCCCTTTTCTGAAGGGCCTTGCACATTATGAAGAGTGTGGCCTCCAGAGCCCTGCACTTCAACCACTCACCTCCTGCCAGGTGCAGATCTGGGCCAGCCCAAGGGAGGAACTCAGGGGGAGCAGGTGGTTGGCCCCAGGCCTCCCTCCTTTGCTCTCCAGGACCTGGTATCCTGACTGCCCCCTCAATGCACCCAGGCTTGTCCATGTCAAGATCTCCTTCTCACCCTCTTTACCCTTCCCATCCCAGCACTGATCCTCTGCTCTTCTGTAGCCCATTATCTCAGGGATAAAATGCTTTTCCTACAAGTAATCAATGAAGCCTCTACAAACAGACAATAATTTTAAAGGAACCTTTTGGAGACAATGGCTCTACTTATTTGTCTAAAAACTTGAGGGCTTTGCTAGAAAGAGGCAGTCTGGGGACTAGGTAGCCTCCAATCACAGTCTGTACTCAGCCTCTAGCAGATGCAACCCTCCCGCTTCATAAAACGATACTTCCACTTTGTCCTGGCTCCTCCCGCCCCTTCTACCACACCTGATCAACCAACCTTTTGAAAGAGTTTGGTGAAAAATTCATTCTGCCCTTCATTTTGTTCTTCTATCTCCTATAGGAACAGACGCATAGAAATACATCATCATTCACCTGTACAAACGGATTCTCGTGCACACACTAACATCTCAGGGCTTCCATGCCCCTGAAATCCAGGAGCTTGACCTTGCACTGTCTTTCGTTCTACAAACATCCCCTGTTGTGCCAATTCTCCCTGCTTTGGGGAAGTCATAGTGAACTGGGCAAAAGAAAGGCCGGTAGAGGGAAGCAGAAGAAGGTAGAATATGAGGGCAACTCATGCACCTGGGCTCTGGCCCCTCAGTGACAAGGGCCTGCCCAGAAGGGCAGTTCTCTACTCTTTCTTGATGCAAAAATAACAGAACCTAGGTACTCTTAGAACACAACAAGTGATGTTGCATATTTTTCATCGAAAGGGGTCTGCAAGAATCTTCCTCTGACCCCTTAACGTGATGGAAGAGACCCACCATCCTGGCTTAGAAAACAGTCCCAGCCGTGTGGATTCCACCTGACTACTCACCTTAGAGAAGACAACACTGGAATTACTGCCAATTTCACTGAGGGGGCAAAAAAAAAAAGAGTTTTCTTTTGAGAATTTTTTGACCAATATTCTCCTCCCCTGGGAGCTCATCTTCCAACTTCCTCAGCCAAGGCACATGGGGACCTGCCTCACCTGCCTCTTCTCCTTACAGGGCAAGTTCAGTGCACGGCTTGCACCTCCTCCCCACACCCTCATCTGGCTACTCTGACTCATATGTTAAAACTCAGTAGCCTGACATGGCAGGGAGGCCCAACAGCAAGTCAAGTTCCCTATGGCCAAGATATGAAAAACTAAACAAAACACACACACCCGGCCTAGAAGGGCTGGCGCGGCAAAAGAAGCCTAGGCAAAATAGTAAGTTTGGTTGCGTATGTGGGTATTGATTCAACTGCATACGGTAGTAGCTAGTTAGTAACAGCCTCGCCCAGCTGAACTACCCCTATTCCTCTCTTAGGAGTCACCTGCTCCCTGAAGCCAACTCTGCTTCCCCAGGACCTTGGAGGTCGGCTCAGAGGCTCCTCTTTGACGCTGTTAACACCCCGAGCATATCTCCCATTGGGTGCATTGTCAGAACTGTAGCTGCTCACACATCTGCAGCCTTCCCTGAGCCTGAGTTCAGGAGGGCAGGGGCCCTGTCGGTGCCATCTTTTTCTCTCTGATGTCTAGCACGTGCTGGTTTGTAGTGGAGGGAGGGGGGAAGGAAGAGGAAGATGGTCTCCACGCTGAGCCGCCCTGGTGTCCTGCTCTCCCCATCACTCTTCTGTCTCAGCAGCAGAGACCGTGGCCTCTGCCATTTCCAACTTCACCCTCCATGCCTCCCTTGCCTGAGGGGCCCCAACCTCCAGGAGAGGCTTCGTGTCCTTACTAAAAGATGTGTTTTCTGGAGAAAATCCTGAGGACAAACTCCGACTCCTGGTGGGCCTCCGACGTGCAGGGCACGATGAGATATGTCCCTGCGTCCAGCCACAGTTCCTGACTCACTTCTTTCTCCATGACGAATGTCTTAGGCTGGCTGAGGGGAGCACTTCTCTGGAAAAACGCAGGGGGCAGTCTCTTCTGGTCATCGTAGGTCTGTGGGTGGAGGACAGAAAAACATAAGTAGATGTGACCATCCAGGGCTTATGGCCCGGCCTGAGGCCTTTGGTGGGGAGCCAGGACCCAGGTGGCTTCTGATCTGCCAAATCCAGTAGAGGATGAGACAGAGGAGCAAGGAGAAAATCCCCTGAACACACTGTCGGGGGGCCTTTGCTGGAACCCTCTTGGGGCTGAATAAACAAGTCAGTTGACTTGACATCGAAGTTACAAACAACTCTGACACAAAACGATGTGAGAAATGCCCTGTGCCTGCGTTTTCCTTTTCATAGTTGAGGAGCCTGAGATTTTGGCAAATTAGGTCATCTGCCCAAGGTCACCCAGCTGGTATGAGTCACAGCCAAGAGTGGGATTCAGGGCAGCTGAGCGCCGGGGTCCATGTTCTTTACACATCCTGATGCTGCCTCCAGGTAAATATATGATACAATCTCCAGGCTGATTGTGGTGTGTTTGTGATCACAGATACAGGTGGAATGCCATACCTCTACATCCAACTAAGAGGGGAGAAAAACTGACATCACAATAGCTGCATCCAGATAACCCAGGCATTCTGCATCACCTCAGTGAAAACAGCCTCATAAAGGGGACAGAGAACTGGGTAGCAGCTCAGAAGATGAGAGCTCTGGTTCTGACATTGCTTGAGCATCTGCTTTGTTTTATCTCATATTCTCTCTCTCTCTCCTCTAACAAAACATAACTCCTGATGATGAATGCTTTCTTTTATCAAACAATGAGAATTAGGAAATCATCTAGTTTCCCTCCTTACCTTGGTTGCTAGGAATCTCAGAGCTAAATTTTATAATCAGGCATAGTAGCTGTCCTGGGTTGAGTTCTCCTGGTCTACCTAGCTCTCATTCATATATTACTCTTTTTCTTGCCTTTTGAGTTTTGTACGGGGTTTGAAGTTCTCTTTTGTTATTATAGGTGGACCAAATTCTATTCAGAAGTAGATGTGACATGAGTAACTTTTTCCTTTTAACTTAACAGGCAACTTGGGGAACTCTAAGTGCTCCCAAAAGAGGGAGGGGAGAAAAAAGCAATTGCAAATGGTTTCTTTATAAAATTCCTCTAACTTAATTTAGTTCAACCTAAGAAAATTAAATTTTTTGCTCTTGTTTTCTTTGGGAAATAACAGTGCCACCCTCAGTAGCTGGGGTACTTCAGGCCTTCCTACCTCACCCCTCCAGGCAGCCCCCTCAGCTGGCGCATAGAGTTGTTCTTGTCTTTCTGCCCCTTTTTTTCAAGCCTTTGTTCTTTCCAGGGGAGGGAGACTTCGTGGTCTCCGTTGGCCCATATGCTTTAGGTCTATTTAATCGTGGGTTCCGTAACTCAGGCAAAATTGTGATCTATCATCCTACCTGTGCTGCGACAGCCTTCAATACTAGCCCTAGGTATTTATGTAGGAATTTAATTAATTCTAAAATTTATTGGTTCTACACCAGGTTCAGAGACCTCCCTATAGATGGATAAGGATTTCTTGGTGTCTTTGCATAAAAAAGAGGAGCAGCTGTTCTTTACGGTTCACGTACATGCAGGCAGTTGGCAGTACAATCAGACATTATCACAGCTTCTTACTGGGTAAGGCTCTGCAGCGGCCTGGCCACAAGGGCCCTCACATCAGCCAGTCAAGGATGGGACTCACCTTACTCATCTGAAAGACAAAAGGAGAGAGAGATCTCATTAGGCAGGAAATCCAGAAATTTCACAGGTCCAAACTGGAATAGAAGCTGATATACAAGCCTCTCCACCCAGAGAAGGGGCATCACTCTCCCCCTCTCCCACAGGACCTGCTGCTCTGTCTGTGACATATGAATACATCATTGGAAATTCTGGAAAAGGGTGGAGGGAACTTGGCTTCTTGGGAGAGGAAAAGGAAACCAGTACTGATTGTGCCAGCTATGTGCCAGGCACCATGACAAGCACTGGCAGGGGCATTCCTTTGATTCTATCTTTGCATAAATATCACTGTCCCTTCTTTACATTTGAATGAACTGGTGGTTGAATGTGAGGAGGTGACTTGTTCTAGATCACATGTTCCTAAGGGACAGAGCCAGGATTTGCACCCAGGGCTGTGGACAGAGACGGACAGTGGGGAAGATGAGAAACAGGGGAAATGGTAACTGCTGAAGACCTCGCTGGGCCACATGGCTCCGTGCCCTGAGGCCCACCTACCCAGAAGAGGTAGAAGCCAATGGCGAGGTGGGGCTTCCTGTTGCGGTGTCTGTGCCTGGGCTTCTGCAGTAGGGACACCAGCACGTTGCAGGGCCTCAGAGACCTCCTGCCCTCCTCAGGCCTCCAGACAGAGAGCAGGAACTGAGGGTTCTTCCAAAATGTGCCTGAGGCAAAACACAGTGAACTAAGAACAGGCCCTGGATCCCCAAGCATCCGGCTCACCAGACCACTAAGAGGTGGGCAGCCCAAGGACACCTCCACTGGGACTCACACACTGAGGCCCACTGGGATGGAACCTCCTCCCCCCTCCTCCTCTTTCTCCACAGACACGCCACCCAGAGCTGTCCTGTGCCTCACCCGGACATGCCCCATAGGCAAGCACAGCCTGGGTGAGTGATGCATCAAGTCACTGAGGAGACACCCCACAGCCCCGGGGCCTCTGCACTGCATGGCCGCAAAGCCTGTGCAAGAGCACTTCAGCCTCTGGGGAGTAGGATGCCCTGATCCACTGAGCTCACACCCCCCAGGCCTTTCCAGCAAAAGCCAGTCTCCCTATCTGAATTGTGGAAGAGAGGACACAGTCACCAAACCTGTCCCTCTTGAGAACATAGATGAGTTTGTCTCCTGTATCTACTGAGCCTAGGAGTCCCCCCAAGTGTGTGTCCCTCCCCAGATTCAGGCTACAGAAGATACAATTCCTATTTCAATCTTGTCCACTCACGAGTGGTTACTTTCAAGTATCACTGGCCTTGTCCTAAAATCACAGAGCCTTTCCCAGTGCCTGTGAGCTGACTGGGAAGGGCCATCCCTCTGCAAAGATGCAGTTCCACATGCTGATGGTTTGACCAAGGGGACTCTGCCCCTGGGCACATTAGGACCAAAGTGCCCCATTTTCTGTGTGGACACAGCAGGAGGCCAGAGCATGAGGCTGAGTGCACACAACTCCTCCCCCTCCCCCCAAGCACTAGCTACACCCCCCACGCACACTGCACACACACTCACCTCCCTGCACCTTCTTCCGGCCACCAGCTGTGCGCCCCTTCTCCCATCTCCCCTCCCGCACGGTGTATGTCCACTTCCTGCCCATCTCCTGACTCAACAGTCCTGGGGTCAGTTTACAGATGACCAGGAGCGTGAAATGTGCTTTAAAGTCCTGCAGCTTCATCCTGCAGAGAGAACGACCAGCACAGGAGATGGATGAGAGGATACCTAGTGACAAGCCCAAAGGGGAGGGTGAAGCTAAGCAGTGGGCAGCCCTCCCCAGGCCAAGGCCATGCCTTATCAGACCTGAGCTGGTGCAGACCTGAGCTGGCTTTGGAGATACACGGTGGGGCTGGCTAGAGCCCCAGGGGGCTCCATCATAGGGAGGATCACAGTGATAACAGCTGAATTGAGGTATCCCTAACTAGTCATTTGGTTTATAAATGTTCATTAAGAATTGCACAAATCAACTCTCAATCATTAATTAACAAACATCTTCACTTGCTAACTCTGTGACCTAAAATATGCTGTTTAAACTGTCTGATGCTCCATTCACTTATCTCTGAAAATGTAAACAACAGAATCTGCAGGGCTCTATTTCTTTTTTAAGCAACTGAATTATACCAAAAGGAAAAAGAGGGATTTTGTTTTGTTTTTGCGAGACACAGGGTCTTGCTCTGTTGGCCAGGCTAGAGTACAGTGCAGTGGCATCATCATAGCTCAATGCAACCTCAATCCCCTGGGCTAAAGCAATCTTTCTGCCTCACAAGTAGCTGTGACTAGGTGCTGGCCACCACACTTGGCTAAGTTTTCTATTGTTTTGTAGGGACAGAGTCTCCCCATATTGCTCAGGCTGGCCTTGAACATCTGGCCTCCAGCATTCCTCTCATCTTAGCCTCCCAAAGTGCTGGGATTACAGGCATGAGCCAACATGCCCTGAGTTGTAGAGCTCTTGAGTTCAACGAAAGACCTTCAAAAGAGAGAAGGCTACAGCAGTCTGAAATGGGTGGCTGACGGGAGTATAGAAGTCTATTGGAACAAGGGTGGTAGTTAATAGTAACAGTGACACACCCAGGCAAAGCAGAACAGATGGGGTTCCTACCAGACACCCAGCAGCAGCTCAGGAAGTCTTGGTGGCCTTTCATAAAGAGGGGTGAGTCATTTCAGGGTAGGTGGGAGTGGTGTTACTCTGCTGCAGGGGGCACAAGTCAGGGACCTTATCTTTTGGCAAAAAATTTATAGTCCAAGTTCCTTCCTCATCTCCTTTTTAGGACAGGAAAGGCAAAACCCTGGGGTTGAGTATATTGAACAAGAGAGCAAAGTGGAGGCGAGAGAGGAGGACACAGCCTGCCCTGAGCCCCGCTGCTGAGCTCCACTCTCATTACTGAGACTGTGGCAGTTTGTTTACAGGGGCTGTTTGCCCTGCTGGGCTGGGAGCTCTAGAGGGGATGGTGTCTTACGGATCTCTGTACAGGAGGTGCCTGGCACAACATGAGACACCCAAAATCCTGCACGGGTGTCCAAATGTAAGCAAGGACATTTGTCCCAAGTCCCCGAGTCAAATACCAGAATTCTCCATCATCATCTTTCCTCAGAAGCAGAATCTTTTCCTTAGGGCTCAGTAGCTCCCATGTTCTTGAACTGAAAACAGAAAAGAAACGTTTTCACTGAGAATGAAACGACTATGCAGGGCACTCTAGAAATACTTCAGTAAATTCTCTGTCGTGTCATTAGTTATTATCATTTTCATGCTGCTTTATAGACAACTAAATCTTACATTCCATATTATACAAGTAATATTTAATATTCATTGATCACTTACTATGTGCCAGGCCCTGGGTTCTTGACATGCATTAAGGCTAAGAACAACTTCAAAGAAAAAATAGAAATATTTATCCCCATTTTAGAGATTAGGAAACTGAGGTCAAGAGAGATTAGGTTACTTGCTTGAAATCACAAATCTATTAAATGTCAAGGCGATGACTAGCATTTGAACCTGCTTATTTTCAAAGCCCATCATTTTGCATTTCTACCACTGGCCATGAAGGAGTAAGACTATTCCGTATCAGCCTCCTACCACAAATGTCTAAAAATGGGACAAAATGTAACACATTATTTTCAGACATTGGACAACAGGCAGGCAATCCTGAGAGGCAGGAAACAAATGAAGTGAGCCCTGACATCACATAGGCCTCCTTCCTGAAGGGAATTTTCTGGGTAGTAATTCAGGGCAGGGAACCCAAAGAGAACTTATCAGTCTTTCTCAGCAGAGAAGATAGAGTCTGGAGTTCAAGGAGACCAAGACAGCCAGAATTTGCTGGTAAAGTACCTGAAAGTAGGAAACTACTTAACAAAGGAACTCTAGAAAACTTCAAAGGGGTTCCCTTGAGTCTTTGGCTGACATCAAATCTGTGCTTTCTTAAAGTGAACCTCCAAAAAGAAGGACTGTAAGCAAAACAATTCTCAGAGCTCACACAGGGCTGCAGATCATATGAATTCCCACCTGCCAGGGTTAAAAAACTTTACTGAATGCATGGAGTCTTCGCTGGAGATCCCAGAGGATCTACAACTTAGTAGTGATACCAAATTGTCACTGAAATGGAAGTAGCCCTTAACTTGCCCTCAAAGTGTTTAAAAACATCAAGGTATCAAAATAATCCCTAAGCAATGTGACTACCCGCCAGAAAAAGCCCTACACTCTTTAAAGGAATACAATAAAAACTCAGCACTCAGAAACTAAAATTTGCAATGTCCAGCATCTAATAAGAAATTACTAGCCATGGGAAGTAAGCAGAAAATGTGATCCGTGACCAGGAATTAAAAACAGTAAATGGAAACCTGCCTAAAAATGAGAGCGATGATGACATTAGCAAACAGCTGTGATAAACATGCTCCACATTCTCAAGGACAGAAGGGACAATACGGACATAACGGGAGAAAGGGAAGACAGTCCCGAGTGGAAATTCTAGCATTGAAAAATACAACCCAGTAGAACCTCCATAGTTGCCCACCTCCCTCCATTGACCACATCCTTAAGTTGACCTAATTTTCATAGACCAGACATGCACCATATATAGCTATCAGCCCAGTAGGCCTAGTTCCTTATGCTGACCACCTCCATATGTTGACCGGTTTGTTACAGTCACTTGGGTGCTCAACTTACAGAGGTTCTACTGTATTTAAAATGGAGACTATAGTGGACGGGAGGATAGGATTAAAAGCAGATTCAACACTGTGTATTAAAAACACATCATTTTATTTAATCTTCCCCACACCTCTGGCTCAGAGAAATTGAGATGCTTCCCTAAAATTACACGGCTCGAAAGTAATAAAACTAATTTACCCGTCATGTGTGTCTAATGTGAGTGCTTGTTCTTCCAGGAGACAATCCAGCACCAAGATTACAATGCTGTATTTCTGTGGCACCTTAAAATTTGTGTATTTCTGTGGATGACATTTTTCCACATAGACCCTTCTGACAACTCTGTTTATTAATGTATAACAAATGTAATGCAGCACATACTATCAGGGGTAAAATTCAACTTGTTCTTCTAAGCTTTCATTTTTTCACTATAAAAATGATCGAGTGGTAATGTATGTGTGGGACATGTTTGCATACTCTAAAGTATCATACAGGATAAGTATTGTAAGTCTTCATAACAACAGGGGGAAGGGCTTTAGTAGAACTCGGCCTTTCTATCTGTCTGTGCTCTACAGCTGGCCCAGAGCCTCTAAATCCCACATCCCTTTACAGTTGACTTTAGGAAGGAACAACCTAAATGTCTCCAACTAAGCAGAATGCCCACATGGAGGAGCCAATGCAGATATGTCTACCTTTGACTACCAGGAATGTACTAAGCCATGCCAGGCAGAGAAACTGGACCCAGGCACCAATGACCTTGGTGGAGTTACGCTGCGTGACCTTAAGCAATTCAATTAATCTAAGCATCAGTTAGTGAACTGGGGATAAAACTATCGACTTTATAATAGTGTTGTTTGGAGGATTAAATGAGATAATAAAAATTCAAAGGGCTTAGCACAGTGCTGGCAAGCCCTCAATAAACATTAGCTTTAATTATTATAATGAAAGGAAAAGCAGTCTATATACCATGAAGCATCTTATAAATGTGAGTGATTAAGCCCTGCGGTCTGAAAGCATTCTGATCCAGCCTGAGGTCAAAGGAAGCAGACATCTGAATTTGTGTGCAAATGGCAACCTCCTTTGCACTCTTCACCTGCCCAGTTCCCACCCCTCCAAGACTTCCCAAAGTTCACCTGTCACTCCAGTCTCCTTTCCATTCCACCTTCCCCCAGGGGTTCCGTAGTTTAACAAGATATTCAGGTCTATATTTGCAGGTCACCTGCACAAAAAGAGAGGCAGTTTAGGTGGCTGGGCTGATGCAACCTGTTCTTGGGATCTGAGTGACATTCAAGCCTGCAGCTGAGCCCTTGGAATGAGAAGTCAGAGGTCCAGGAAGGGCTGGGAGGGGAAACAGCAGCTCTGAGACTTGCACTGCTGAGCTAGGAGACCTGGGGCAAACTGCCTATCTCAGTTCCCTGGTAGTTATGCCTACTGCAGCAGGCTGGATGGTGTTCCCTCCCAAAGGACACATCCACTCAGAAGCTGCAAACGCAACTCTATTTGGAAAAAGCATCTTTGCGAATCTAATTAAGTTAAGGATCGAGATGAGATAGTTGTCCCTAAATCCAATGACAAGTATTTTTAGAGGAGCAGAGCAGGGGAGCAGAGACAGAGAAAGAAGCCATGTGAAGACAGAGGCAGAGACTGGAGATCCGTAGCCTGAGTCAAGGAACGCCTGGAGCTGTCAGAGGGGGAAGACGCAGGGGGGACTCTTCACCACAGCCTTTGGAGGGAGTGTGGGCCTACTGACCCCTTGATTTCAGATTTCTGGCCTTCAGAACTATGAGAAAATTCATTTATATTGTCCCAGCTTATAGTAGCTTGTTGTGGCAATCCTAGGAAACCAGCACACCTCCTCATGGTGGCTTTGTCAGGATAAGGTGAATTAATGTTTAGTTACCGTTCTAAAGCAGTTAGGACAGCACGTAGCACATAGTAAGTGCTGGGTACATTTTGTTAAATAAATATGACAATAAAGAAAAACTTCTTGGCACATAAACAAAAAATCTAAATGGAAAAAGTTAGGTGTGAGTTGGGATCCAGAAACTTGAAACGAAGTGAAAGGATATTACAGGACTTGGGGAGAGCTGGGCTTGCCAGAGCATGTCGGAGCCTCGTTAGCTCGAAGCTGCTGCTTTCTCCCCTCTCCGCTCTGCTCATGCCGCTCCCTCCACCAGGATCCCCTTCTCACCCAAGTCGACCCCTCTCTCAGGAGCTACCTCAGTGTCACCTCCCATGTAAGGACTTCCCTGACTTCTCCCCAGTGCAGCCGGTGGATGTCCCTTCTCCCATGAACCCCTAAGTCTTCCTCAAGTTTCTGCTTTGCCTCCTCCTCATTTGTCTCCAACTGGACTCTGACTCTGTGGGTAGGGGCTCTGTCTGAACCATCTTCCTTCCAATGCTCAGTACAGCCCAAAAGTCGAGTAGCGATTGTAACTGTTGTAAAGAGCACGTGAGTGGAACGGGGAGTTGCGAGGAAGAACTAGCTGCGAAAGCTGATGGGGGCAGCCTGGGGCGAAGCCTGAGAAGGGCTGTAAGGCACAGTGGGGCTGGGTGGCCACTGGCTGAGGGCTGCCCCCTGGGACAGGGTTGGGATAGTGCGCTGGCAGTGACAAAGGCTGAACCTACCCCTTCACCCCAGGAAATAGGTGCAGAGATATAGGGAGCCCACTACTTGCTTTGACGGGCCCTGGAGGACTTAGCAGAAACGTTACCCACTCCCCAGACTGGGCACAGAAACCAGCATTCCCTGAGAGGACCTAAGGCCCTATGAGAGGTACAGGGGTTGGCTGGGGGCAGGAGGGCTGACAAGGAGGCAGAGGGCCTCAACCAACCCACCTTCCGGAGTCCTGTGAGAGTGTAGGCATGGCCGTCCACCAGCCCATTCTCTAGCACCTGCTCCTTCTGTGGAGACAAAAGACAGGTCCTGATTGGTCCTCTGATGCACAGAGCTTATCTGTGAAGTCACAGAAGGCCTGTCTGGCTGGAGCAGTGGGTTATAGAAAGAGGAGTGGGACGGAATCAGCGCACAGCACATGACAGTTTTCAAAGCTCTTCTGCATCCGTAGTCTCTTTCAACCCTCTCCATAACAGGTGTGCCACTCTGTAGGGATTATAACCTCCATTTTCCAGAAGACAAACGCAGGCTCAGGGCTGCTGAGTCAGTGTGCAAGGAAACACACATGGCCATTCCGAGCCCTGTTAGTTGTGAAATTGCACATGGAAAGTGCCTTGCGTGAACTTGGCACTTCCTAACTGCTGGCTCCCTTCTCTGCACTCCATCTTCATTCTATTGCTGCCTAGCCCACCCAGAGGAGCCAGCTCTGATGCTCTCACTTGAACACCAGGACCCTAGGTACAGGAGCTGTGTGGAGGCCCAAGCCCACACCCAAGTAAAACCAGCAGCTGGTAGGTGAAGGGATGGGGAGGGGAGGAGGACACTCCACCAGAGCCAGCCTAGCCTCACCCCTACGTGCGTCTGGCAGCAAATGAGGGTTCTGCTGTAGGTGGCTTGCTCTATGATGTCCCAGAGGTTGTCAGGGGCTTCTGCCAAGTTAATGGTCATTGTCACTCCTCCAGTGAAGTCCACAAGGGCTTCAGACACCAGTCCATTCTGCAAGTCTTCATAGGAACCACAGAGCCTGCCCAAGGAATGCAGAACCATGAGAGGAGAAGGGTACTGCAAGCACTTATAATTTTATGTTGTCTTGGCATCCATTTTTTAAAATATAACTTTAAATTTCTCATTCCAGAGGCAGGGCTCAGTTTCCCAGGGCTATATACCCCACCTGAACGGCTCCAGCTGGTGACCAGAGATAAGTGTCAGAGGCATCTGTCCTGCCTGCAAGGCTGGGCTCCCTGCTGCTCCCCGCTGCTCCCCTTTCTTTAAACAGACCACTCAGACATTTGCCTGAGAACTTACAAGATATTCAGGTCCTCCTCTCAGTTAGTGTGTCTCCTGGAGCTCATGCCTACTTGCTCTAAACGCACCAGTGAAAGCTCCCCCCGGAATGCTGTTTGGATAGCACCCTGGACCCAGTAAAGGCACTAAGCCAATAAAGGCAGTGACCCACAGTCCCTTCTCTTTCTTTCTGCCTATGCTGCCTGACTTCAAAAACTCTTAAAAATGTTCTCATTGTTATTTTGTCCCCAAAGGGATCCAAGCAAGGGGATCTCATGTGGGTGCTCCTTTGTCCCCACCTTTCAGCTGTTAAGAACAGTGGTTACTGGCTAAACTGATGGAGTTTCATTCAAAACAAAGGGAGAAGGGGCTTATGCCATGCAGCGATGGTTCAGAGGAGCTGCCTTTGCTTTGCTGGCCTGTGGGTGTGTGTTACTGCTCCTTCTCTCCGTCCCAAGGTCAAAGAAGAGAATACAGACCCAGAGCCTACCCCTCTTTAACAACTCTGTCTGTTAGGGAAAGGCAAAATTCCTGAATGCTTGTTTGGGTGGGTGACCCCCACATAAAGACCCTGAATATGTTGTCACTTTGACTTTGGCTGAGACATGCCTCAGTATCTCACTTCACAAACTTTGCCCGATTCCACTTCCCTCCTTCCACACTGATAGAGAGAGAGAAGGAGACAGTGGGAAGGCGTATTTCCACCAGCTGTCTTACTTGGCATAGGCCTTTTCCAGAAGAGCTCCCCAGAACAAGTTCTTGTAGGTGGAAGAGACAAAGACCAGCTGGCCAGCCTCATTCACGGGCAGTCGGTCATCTATCACCACCGGGACCCAGTTCCCAAAGTGCCAGAACTGGGGAGAGAGAGTGGCCCCTGGTGAGTGAGGATGGCCCCAGGAGACAATCATCCCAAGAGGCAAAGATGCAGCTCCTCCCAGAACCCCGTCCTGCAGCCCCTTGCCCAGGCCAAGGCCCCAAGAGGACACTCACCCAGAACCGGAAGATGCCAGCATAATTCTCAGTGAAACTCTGATTCAGGGGAACAACCCGGCTCAGAATGTCCTCGTGCAGAGTCAGAGCTTGCAGACCGGCCAGGAACCAGCAGTCTCCTAAGCCAGACAGCACACAGGGTCTGCGTGAACCTACTAGGGACTCCCCCCAGGCCCATAGTGCCTGGCCTCAACCACTCTCCTCTCGGGGCTTGTCGCCCAGCTTAGGAGAAGGGAACTCCACCAGGGAGAAGGGGTGAGTGGACAGGAATACTGGCTGGAATCCAGACCTGACACCAAAAGTGGAGTCATCTTCCTGGACCAGGTTTTAGCTTCCTGAATGCCCCCCTTCTCAGGAATTTGGACCCAAACCCCACCAACCTTTTTCTAAATCCTCTGTGCCTGCCTTCCGCTCTTCTGGGAAAGCCTCATCCCTCCCCTGTGTGAAATGGATATCACTAGACTTGCGCCTTTCCTCATGGCCAAAGCTTGTTTCCATTTACTCTAAAAAAAATAAGCCGAGCTGAGGATAAGCCCCTTGGACCCTATTCTTGGGAGTCTAATGACAGGTGTCTCAAGAAAGACTCATGGTGGGGACTAAAACAGAGTGAGCACATTTTCCCAGCACAAAGTTTAGACCTGCAAGTTGGTAACGCAGACTGTGGATAGCTGGGTCCAGCATGGCATCCCTATGCACCCTCATAAATGTCACATCCAAGGACACTGCACGTCAAGGTGGAGTTCAAGGTTTGCTGCTGAGTGACCATCGTGGCCCTCCCGCCCCTTCCCTAGGGAAGACTCTGGATTCCTGTTTGTGTCACACACTCTGCTGTGTGTCCAGCACTGTGTGGACTTACCTACCACACCCTGGCACAGATCCAGTCTTTTGGCCTTCGAAGAATAGAACTGAGGGTTGCTGTGCAGCTCCTGTGAGGACAGAAGGAGTTGTCATTCTGACCTAGGTTGAAGATACTCCCGGAGTGACAGTGATCATGTTTTCCCACACCCCTCAACTGGACTTAAGGGGACAAAGATGTAGAATATATGAGAAATCAGGGCTATCCCAGAAAAAAATGGGCTGGAGAGTGTGTACATTGCATTTCTGATTTTTTCTTTCAGCTCCCATAAGTCAGAGCCCTGAAGAACCAGGTCTAGATACCGAGAAGTAGCACTTGTACCAACAATGCCTTTGCCTGAGGCTTCCACTAAAAATACAAATACATTTTAAAAGGGACATTCAGAGTTTTCCTAGGACCTTTGCATTCTCTTTATTCTTCTTACCCCTCTGTCTCTTCCTCCCTGCCTTCTCTGGCTTTTCGTGCTAAGGTGGGGTTCCCTAGATAGCTTCAGGATAGGGGCTGATCAGCCCCACCCCACAACCTCTGCTCTGTATGCTTTATAACGGCTTTTATAGTAAACCAGTAAATGGGAGCAACATGTTTCCCTGAATTCTGTGAGCCCCTCTAGAAGATCAATCCACCCCAGGAGGGGTCATGGGAACCCCAATTTATGGCTGGTCATTAGAAGTGCAGGTCACGAACTGGGACTTCCAGTTGATATCTAAAGTGGAGGGTCAGGCTGGGGGTGCTGAACTTTTAACCTGTGGGGGCTGATGCTATCTCTTGGTAGATAGTGACCAAAGTGACTTGGAGGTTACTCAGCTGGTGTCCCCAGGAGAATTGCTCTGTGTGTGAGCAAAACTCCCCACACGTCTGGCGTCAGAAGTGTTTGTCATACTGAGTGGAGAGAAGGAGAACCACTTTGTTTTTTCCTTATGTATCTTGGACCTGGTATGCAGTAGCCCCAAGCCCAGGGCATTTTGTGCGTGTCCCTGCAGCCCCTCCTGGACCTCACCGGGGGTCTCTTCCACTGCAGGCCAGGTGGCAGCTTCTGCAGCAGGGGCCCGCTACCCACAGAACTCAGGGTGGCAGGAAAGCTGCGGTCCTCAAAGAGGCAGTGGTCCCTCAGGCACCCTGCCAAGAGGGCCTCGAAGTCCTGCCGGGGGAGCTGGGGAGAACAGCGGCTGGAGTCCCTCTGCCCCAGTTTCCATGTGCCACAGATGGAGGGCAGCCACAGAGACATGACAGGTGGTGGAGGGTCCTGCGAGGCTTCCCAGATGGTCTCTGCAGCTCCTGAAATGGAGGGCCCACAGTCAGTTTGCGCTTTGTCTTCCCCAGAAAGGAGGAGGAAGGAGGAGAGACTGTGGGAGGGAGAGACGGCAGCGGGCGGCTTGATTCTTTTCCCTGAGGGTGGGGGCCTGTGAGCCTCCGCTCAAGGGCTTGGGGACCTGGTGCAGATCAGAGATCCCACAGCAAAAGCCTATACCGAGGGAAGGGTCTCCCCAGCCTCAGGGCCAAGTGTTGGGCTGACTGCACCAGCCTCACAGGGGCCCTCCTGTTTAACAGGCACGTGGGAAGAAGAGAAGCAGGAAGCCGAAGTTCAGCCCCCTGGGCTCCAGGGGAGGTATGGTTGCCCAGTCAGTCTACCCTGGGCCAGCCAGCTCCTGCCTCCCAGCTGCACACGTGTCGGTCCTGATCCTGCTCCAGCATCCTCCTCTTCCCTGCAAAATCTCCTACATGCTCTCTTTGTTTTATTTATTTATTATTATTATTTTGAGACAGAGTCTCACTATGTTGCCCTTGGTAGAGTGCTGTGGCATCGCAGCTCACAGCAAGCTCAAACTCCTGGGCTTAAGCGATTCTCTTGCCTCAGCCTCCCGAGTATCTGGGACTACAGGCGCCCTCCACAACGCCCGGCTATTTTTTGGTTGGTGTTGTCATTATCATTTAGCAGGCCCAGGCCAGGCTCGAACCTGCCAGGCTCAGTGTATGTACTGACACTCTCTTCACAGAGCTATGGGCACCAAGCCGCCTACATTCCCTTTAAAAAGAACACCTTCCTTGAAGAATTTCTTGATAACGTAATGGAAAAGAAATCACACATACCTATTGTGGCAAATACTAACAATCACTGTACATACCCTCTCTTTCCTTTTCTTGTTATTAGAATCCCAGTTTTGATCACCTAGTGACAAAACTTGATTTCCTGGGGCTCTTGCAGGCCAGTGAGATGAAGGTGGAAGGCTATGAGTTAGAGCTTCTCCAGGAGCTGTCACTTTTCCCCATGATAAGGGACAGCTTCAGCTGGCACCACTTTTGACTTTCCCCTTTTGCTGGAGAGAAGACTTAACATCTGGAGATGGACCAGCTGTTTGGGGACCATTAGGACAAAAGCCACCCCTAGACGCCTGCATCTTGATCACCTCTTTGAACAAATGCACCAGCCTTGGGAAGCTTTTTTCCCAGACTTCTTTATTACAGGAGAAGGACAAACCACTTGGTCATTTAAGCCACAGTTGTAGCTAGACTCCTCGGCAGTGTTTATGTCACTTACTGTACGTCTGTTACACACAGCCACAGCACTCTTAGCAGACACACAAATGTATGTAAAATAAAATTTTACATACATTTTTAGGAGCAATAGGTTCCTTTTCTGAAGCCCAGGCCTGAATTTCATATTAAGAGTTCCACAAAGTCGTCTGGGCCCCACCAACCCCAATGTCCTTAGATCTTCTGTGTGTAGTTATACACAACTATGATTGGTGGATGATTATGGCCTCTATTATTTGAATTCTTATCCACTGAGAATAACAAAAGAGAAGAGACCTTAGAAATCATTTAGTCTAGCATTTTTCAAAGTAGCAGAATTCCTTCCTCACATAAAATCCTACAGAAACTCAAGACTGAAGGCTTGAGGCTGGACCACAAGGTATCTTTGCAAGGCTTCTGATTTTATGGTTGGAAAACCACTGGTCTTATAGCCCCCTCATTTTTCAGGTGTTAAAACTGAAACCCATTCACCCATTCACTCACCAAATATTTTACTGGAGCTTGCCATGTAGTATGCCAGGCTTGGCTAGGCACCATTCACCAAAGACATTCCCTCACAGCTTTTGCAGTCTGAGGGCAGTGAGGGGTGGGGGGAGTGTAAATGATTTTCCTGGGACCCAGGAAAGATCTTATCAGAGCAATACCTAGGACCCAGGACCCTGACTCCCATACCAGTGTTCAGCCCTCAATACCAGCAACTGCCGGTTGCACCCAGCACAGAGCTGGCCACAGAAGTTACATGCACTGGACGCCGCCTGCCAATCTGTCTACACCCAGTGTGAGTACTCCCTCACAGCTGCAGGAGTGACCTGAGGGTCCCTCTGTCAAGATCTTGCCCCTTGCCCAAAGTCCAACTTGAGCCCCTCGCCCAGGAAGCCCACCTGGTATGCCTGGCATTCATTCCCCGAGTTCCCTCCTGTCTACTGACCCACTATCTACCCTGTAGGACGCCCTGCGCTCCTCTCATCGAGCTTCTCAAGTTCTCACCAGTGAAGGGCCTGTATTCTTTTACTTCCAACCTCTCATGGAAGTGTAATGAAGATGAATTAATAGCAACATGACATTTTAAAAGATATACAAAAACAAACTCCCCTTTTAAAAAATCTGAGTCAACAGAAATAAAATTATTTAGTCACTTGCTATAAACATTTCTAAACACTTACCCTCAGCTTTGAACTTAGCTCATCAGGCACTGCTAGTGACCAGCTCGAGGAATGGCCCTGTCTTCAGACCCCACTTCGGTTCTGCTCTGGGTGATTCATGCACTGAAGCCTCTGCTGCCTAATACAGTTTTTCGAGCCCCTGTGAGTGTATACTGGTGGAATGCTGTTTGCCTCACACCTTTACCTCTCTGAGAGCTTATGACAACCTGATTCCTGGCTAATCTTATTCATCACTGGTGCATGCACACTTCCTGGGTGAAGCCCCACCCCTCTTCAAACCCAGGTCACCGAGATCCCACAGCTGTTACTCAGGCCTTGGGTTTTCCCTTAATATGGATGAGCAGGCAGCGCTTCCTCCAGCCTTACTCTGTTTTCTTCCGAATAAGTTTTTTCTGCCACATGTGTATTTGTAAACAAACCCGAGGCCTCACAAAGGCAAGGTCTTCCTTTTTTGTCCCTTCACTCCTGAACAACAATCCTTTCCTGTTATGATATGGTAAGTGGTAGAGGGTCCCTTGTCTTCACAACCTGACACAGGCTCACACCCTCCTTATAAGGACCAACCACCACTCAGGCTCTTCTCCAAGCCTGGAAATAGCGGGTCTTGTGACAAGCGTGGCACATCATGGGGTCAGAGGACAAAATGCCCATCATAAGTGCTTCTCACCCTCCAAAGTTCAGAATGAGGTCACACACACATACACTAATCCTTCCCTATATATTTCTGAGTCACCTTAATAAGACTCTAGGCCCTAATGTGGGTGATTAGCAATTCCTGTATATTTCCTATATGTTACGCATTATAGATGAAATTGGCTCATTTCCAGATTGGCATAGCTTTCTTCAAAGGGCCATATGGGTCTTGGTCCTGTTTGGAAATTCATTTTGATTATTATAAATGAACAATGTTGGAGAAGGCCCGTAAAATAAGATTGTGCAAATGGGTAGGGGAAAGCAAACCAGGGTACAAGATATTTGAGGGTGCTGCGTGTGCTAGACTGCTCTGTAGTATTCATCACATCAGGATTCATTGGCACTCAGAACAGGGAGTTAGAGCTTCAACCTTCACTCTTTCCA